TTGTTTACTCAACGAAACAATTATGTTACTCGCCAACTTTAAGTAACCATTTATCTATATTTGGCTTTCCTTTAGAATTGGCGCAGGGAGTTTTCCAAGTGGATTGGCAGAGAAAACATCCCCTTGTATTGTGTTTCACAGGATCAACCGATAAAGGTAAATTGGAAGTCTTTGTTACCTCTGGGTTCACCTAAAGTTCGGTCAGATAGCAAATCTATTCACGGTAGATAAATATCGCTACTTATACTTACACAGTAGCAATTTTACGTCATACTATGACAGTATTTGAAGAGCTGCGCGTCGCACCAGCTTTACATTATAGAATATCAAAGCTTTGTCGCCGTCTTACCCGGTCAACCCTCGCATTTACTTTCATGCCCAGTCAGTTTGACTCGCACAAGTCATTTAAATATGGAGAGGCGAGTAAGGCTGATTCAGTTTATACCTCGTTCTTAGCTTCTCGCTATGAAATTATTTTAAAAGCTTGAAATACTGGAAGGTTGCCAAATGACTGGGTAGCTTAACGCTACTTTGGACTGCGAGTCAGGCTGTACTAAGCAGTTCTAGTTTTTCTCTTAATGACATCCTTATATAGGCGAGGTCCGAGGCTCCCCTGTGTAAAACCTGACATATATAGAGTAGAAATCATGCCGTATGCATCAACCTTGAATGGACTGCTTAATTTTGCCGGCTACTTCGTGTACATACCTCCTACCGTCCTACCGCCGAGTGATGCTGTGTGGTGCACGATGAGGTAAGTGTGTGTGGTAAATGCAGCAGCAATCCGTTTCACTGTAAATCACTTCACACTCAAGTCGCTGTCGCACCTACTACGTCTGTCGTGGTGGACTTTTTCTTTTGCGGCGGTCGACGCGCCGTACGAAATTAATCTGCCCACGCATTCGTGGGTATTTTGTGTGGTCGTGTGTGTGTGTGTGTGAGTGTTTCTGGGCCAGACGGGACAATCGTTTTAGTGGTCACCGAGTTATCTCAAACGTAACGCCTGTCTAGTAGAATATTTAATTTCGCTCAACGAGTTTAACCAACCTTCACGTATATTAGGGTAGCAAATTGAGCGCGCTTTGCCGTGCTGTAACACACGAAGGGCGCGTCTTATAAGTGGCCTTGCGTTGTCCTCAACCTGTTGTCTTAGGAAGCATGCATTTTACTGGTCATGCTTTACCGATGCGACCATTTAAAGGAATTATTTTGTGAACCAGTGTTCAGCTTCCCTTTCATTGAATTCGTTATTTCAAATCACCTTCACATCTCCTGAAGAATCAGCCTTTTACACACCAGATATTCTATAATTTGACTGATTTTCGAATGTTTATTCCAGGACTATCTTTCGCAGACGCGCCCCCCACCCGTCATTATGATGTCCTACGAGATGTTTTTGCAGCACGCCGACCGTGTCGCCGCACTGGCTAATGTGGATCTGCTAGTCTGCGATGAGGGTCATCGCCTCAAAAATCTGGGTATCAAAACGACCACTGTGAGTAGCGGCTGTAAATCGCACTCCCCCTTCTCGTTTTGGTCTCCCCATCTATTCGCTTAATCTACGGCTTCCCCTCCTCCCCCCTTCTTTTCCAGCTGCTATCCAAACTACCGGCTAGACGTCGCATCCTCCTGACGGGGACGCCCGTGCAAAACAACCTAAATGAGCTCTGGTCATTGGCCGAATTCTGTGCGCCGGGCGTCCTCGCGGATAGCCAAGAGGAGTTCCGCCTGCGTATAGCGAATCCGCTTTCACTCGCTCGCAGACCCGTAGACCCCCTAGCGGACGAGGGCGGATGGGAGGATGAGGAGGCCGAAGAGGAGAACGCGAATGTTATCGAAGCAGCCAGACGGCTCACTACAGCCGTACGGAAATTCATGCTGAGGCGTACTGCGGACGCCGTCTGTCGCCGATTGCCGGGAAAAAGTGAGTTTACTTTTCTGCCAGGCCTGCAGTCAACCGAACCGCGGTGGTGCTATTTTGCAGCAGCCAACATGTCCCTTAGCGTCATGATGCTTATTTACTTTTGCCCCACAAAGGGGATGTTAGACAGGCCTGAACCACCAAAAGAGGGTTAAGGAGAGAGAGGGAAATGGTGTTATCCATCTGAAAGAACATTTGGAGGAAGAACATACCCAGCATGATGAACAACTCACGGTATTTTACTCCTGGGCGCAGCCTTAGTCTCATCTCGACAGATCGACCATGACTCTCGACGATGTCTATCACAAGCCTCAGCAAGCTGAAGCAACACAGTGACTCTCGCGGAATTATATTGTAAGTAGACTTGTGAAGAATCTACCCCACTCTTACCATGCCCACACCGGGACCCGGTGTCAAGACAAAAG